ATTCAGACCCGTCTTCTAGCACACGCCAGCACAACACCACTCTGTCCGTCTCCAATACGGAACCAGTACCAAGGAAAATACACCCTGCTGCCGGGCTAGTGGGGCTGCACTTCTTGGGAGAAAGGGTAGAAACTTGAAAACGAACATTTTCTGTAATTTAGAAGCTGGATTTTTTTTCTCCACACTCCCTATACAGAAAACACTGGGAAAAGTGGTACAGAAGTCCCCCACCTCCTCCTGCTTTTCTGAAGGAGAGAGGAGTTGGCTGCACTTCCAAGACCATGTACTTACTACCCAACTTCTGGTCAGAGCAGAGGACTCCCTGCCATGTCTCAAACGGAGAGCTGAAGCTTTCGCAGCAACAGCTGTTCTCCACCACTGGAATCCTCTCCCTTCATTCCCGTCCTTTACGTTAAAAGGACAACCACAGCACAAAGCCCACTAACACTGCAGCCGCTGAAGTCATCGCTTGTTAGGAGTGGGCCAACAGAGGTACCTCAGTGTGGGACACAGAACAGAATCACAGGATGGTTTGGGTTGGAAGGGACCTTAAAGACCACTCAGTTCCAACCCCCCTGCCATGGGCAGGGACACCTTCCACTAGACCAGGTTGCTCCAAGCCTCATCCAGCCTGGCCTTGGACACTTCCAGGGATGGGACATCCACAGCTTCTCTGGGCAACCTGTGCCAGTGCCTCACCACCCTCTCCAGGAAGAACTTCCAGCTGTCCAATCTGTCACTGATTCGGTGGCTGGCTGAGGCCCAAGACATCGCAGCCAGTGAATAGGAATCAGATGTTTATGTCCGAGAACTACAGCACACCAAGACAATCAAGCATGTTAAGATGTGACTCTAGTCTCGGTATCAGAGGTGACTATATACACTGAACAGTTCTACCATGTTTTGATGCCTGCTTTTAGTAACACCTGAAACAAGAAATCTCCCACCCCCTTCCAAAATAAGGCAAGTCCCCATCCACAATCACAAGAGGCTTAAGAAAAAGTATCTTACAGGAAAAAAAACGTTAACAGCACAAGCACCTGTGTAACTACGTAGATGCCAAGATGCTGTCTGTCCTGAGTTTACAAATATTCCAGCTGTAGCTTAGCTGCAGTTTTCCTACTTAGTTACACACAAAGTGACCAGGAATTGCAGATCTGAACAGGAGCAGAAACTTACTGAGCGCACGACATCGATGACCGGGGCCAGTCCTGCCTCGTTTTTCGCATAGTTGAGCCTTGTCTGTTCACTGACAAGTGTCCATAGTTTGTCCAGATTGACCGTAGGACAGAACTTTTGGTTTCTCTTCAAGTGATAGTGTCTCATGCCTACTTTTCCAAAGTAACCGGGGTGACTGTGAAAGAAACACACTCCTCATGAGATCACGTATTATGTTCCACCTGAACAGGGAGGACTATAAATCAACACTGAAACAAACATCTTTCCTGATCAATGAGAACTTCACATTATATTTTTATTCATATGAACACACACAGTGTTTCAGTGTAATAATCACTGGTACCCAATCAAACAGAAAATTATTTTCTCTTGAAGCATTTGCTCTCCCTTCAACTCCCAACCCCATGCCCCTCACTGGTGAGGCTGGGCCAGCCCTGTATTTCCTAGAGCACCCGGGCAGGGTTGTGCTGCCCAAGAAGCATCAGAGCTGTCACTAACCCGGTGACTGACTGAGCCCGGGAAGGTCCCAGTCAGTGAATATAGATTAGTGGTTACTGTCCGAGGACTCTAGCACACCAGGACAACAGGCAGTGTCCAGATGTGACTCTAGTCTCGGCAACAAGACAACCCAGACCTTTACTGAGTGCAGCTGGATAGGATGTAGGTGGGATTCACGCTGCATTTTGCATTTACAGAACATTTTGTGTGCGCGTTGTTTAGCAGGAACCACCTTCTAACAGGCAAGTTTGGTCAAGTTTACCAGACACTGCACCGAACTCAAAGATACCTGGTTTAAGTAAGAAAGTCTTTGATTTTAGGCTAAACAGGGACACGAGTTGACTGTAGCTGTAACACCACACTTTGTATTAGAGGGAAAAAGCCCGAAGTACTGCAGGGAGTTTTGTTTATTTATGAAAGTTAGTTTTTTCTACTTGAGGAACAAAAATTTTGATAGCATTTAAAATGTTAGCTTACTATTTATCAAAGTTAATCCTGTGATGGTGCATACCACCAGCATTACCACGCCCTCCAGGATGTTTCCTGTGTTTGCCTAAAAAAGAAAAATTTACATTTGTCACACTAGGAGCATTACATACAATACACGAGCTTACAGGTATGTTCAATGTTAATTTAAGCTAATTATTCTGATTCTATCCCCTCTTCTGCATTCATCCCAGTTCAGCGAGATGAGCGAACTAAAAACACGCCTTACCAGAGAAAAAGCATAACCACAGCATGCCTCTGGCTAGCTTACAGCAGCACAAGTTGGGTAACAAGAATGGGCAGGAAGGGCCAAAGAGTTCGAATGGAAACAGCACTGACCTGCACGTCTAAGATTTCGCACAGCCAGTGCCATTGCCTAAGCACTACCGAACCTAAGTTGCAGAGCCCCTGAAGTCTAGAAGACCATGCAAAGCTTCGGCTCAGCCCATCACCGCGGCATCCACCCCCACGTCACCAACATCACCCACACACGCTGAAGCCTTCGGTACTGCTCACTATCACCCACAATGTGGGCGGTACC